AGATCCTACACAGATAAGAACAGCAGCAAGGAGAAGAAACAGGAAGGTGAAGAGTCACACAGCAAGTCCAGTAGCAGTAGTAGGATTAGAACCCAGATCTCACAACCCAGCCTTCTAGTCACCAGACCGCCGTGCGCCCCCAGACAGACTCAGAACCAACAGCCAAGCCAAAAGCTACCCAAGCAAGAAGCGATTTGAAAAATTGTTACATGTTCTTTTCCTCTGCAACAGGATGGAGTTTAGACTCCAACCTTTCCTCCCTGCTCTGGCTATTAAGAGGCCAAGCTGGGATCGTTAGTCTTTTTGCAAAGCTCCTAATGTGAAAAATGAAGCTGAAGAAAAATTAGCCAAATTACCAGGCTAATCCTTCAGCAGAAATCGTTGCTCCATTACACATCTGTAAAATGAGCCTATAAAAAGAAAAAAAGACATGGGGGGGGGAGTAAATATACGAAGCGGTTGCTCTTTTGCTGCGGATACTAGCTGCAAGGTAAGGCGGGGGGGGGGAGAAAAACACACACTCAAAATGTAATTTGCGCTTCAAATGCTCCGAGTGTTAAACTGCAGGGGCGGCTGTTCAAATGCTGCCTCGTTCTGAACCTCTTACCTGTCTGTTTTACAAGAGTGAGACAACGGCAGCAGGAACGTTTAAACAGGTGAGTACGACAGCTGTAAGAACGGAGATCCATGGATGCAGCGCTGGCTTGTGGCTAGGGCAGGGGAGCAGGACTTTTGGGTTTTATGCCTGGCTCTTGCTAATCGGAGTCAGCACCATTCACTTTATCCTCTCTCCGCCTCAGTTTACTCCTCTATGTAATTAGTAAGGTGTGTAATTAATTAATTGGGTGAGACCCAGTGTAAATGTAACTGCAATTGAAAAAGTTATTTATCCCCCCTATTTGGACAGAACATTTGTGAAAAGTAAGCAGAAAACCACCTCGGATGTCAATCACGCTATTTGTTGTGGGTTCCTGTTGATTAACCGAGGGGGTGGGGGGGAGGGAAGAGGAAGATAAAGACAGCACTTGTGGACAGTTGTAAAATCCATGCTTACGTCTAATAAATTGGGACTGGCTCCAGCTGCTGACTTATGCAATGATGGCCCCGCTGTTGGCACAGATAACTCGCTGCCCTGCTTTGATCTCTTTGTTAACCGTTTCTAAGTGGACCTATTAGAGCTTGATGCCAGCGCCAGTCCTGGAGAAGCTGTACTGCAGAGCAAGACCCCGATATCTTCTATGCCAAAGGTGCCTCCTAACCACTATCCAAGGGCCCAGCCTTGGAATACAGGCTCCTGGTATTTCAGAAGAGTGGGTCTCCGCTGCCCCCTTGTGGTCAGCAACAGAAAAGTGTTGAAGCAATTGATGGCTGTAAAGGGCACAAACCCTTTTAAAAACACTGAGGGGCTGTCTGCTCCCCTCTTGAAGGCTGAGCGCACAGCAGCCATTGTCAGAATGGACAATTTGTAGTAAGCGATCAGCTCCTAGGCACTGTGGTAATACAAATAATTCTAGAAATAATTCTTCCGTCATTCCAGGGACCATTTTCCTTTCCCTAAAGAGAAGGGACCACAGAGCCGGATACTGGATCAAAATCCATCAATTTAGAAGACAGTTCCCCATTTGGCCACCTTAGGTGATGGTTTCCATCGCTACCTCACACAAACAAGCAGCAGCCGCTCTCAGGGAGGAGGATGGGGCTCCTGGGTGAGATATTTGCCCTTGCAAATGCTAATACTGTAGTACAGGGGTAGGCAACCTATGGCACGGGTGCCGAAGGCGGCACGCGAGCTGATTTTCAGTGGCACTCACACTGCCTGGGTCCTGGCCGCTGGTCCAGGGGGGCTCTGCATTTTAATTTAATTTAATTTTAAATGAAGGGTCTTAAACATTTAAAAAACCTTATTTACTTTACATACAATAGTTTAGTTATATATTATTGAAAGAGACCTTCTAAAAACGTTAAAATGTATGACTGGCACGCGAAACCTTAAATTAGAATGAATAAATGAAGACTCGGCCCACCACTTCTGAAAGGTTGCCGACCCCTGCTGTAGCGCAAACCTGCACTCTACTGACATACAAGCACAGTTCAAGTCACTTACGCCTCATGACTGTAGCCAATCAGGTCCTTTGTCACTTGAACATCTTAATCTCACCAACTGACAATCAGATTAGGGTGACCAGACAGCAAGTGTGAAAAATCGTGACAGGAGTGTGTGTGTGTGTGTGTGGGGGGGGGGGGTAATAGGAGGCTATACAAGAAAAAGACCCAAAAATAGAGACTGTCCCTATAAAAATTGGGACATCTGGTCACCCTAAATCAGATGCAACACAAGCCCAGTGAAAGACGGGCCGAAAGTTTGCTGACTGAGATGCCACAGGTCAGATGGATTTCTCCCAAGCAGGAGGGCTCTGTTTTGTCCAGGACTGAGTCCACAGTTTGAGTTGTTGTGCTAGGGTAACAGAGCCTGAGATGAAATGGAGGCATCACACTCACTGCTCACATTTATTTAGTGAGGGAAAGGAGAGGGGAACTGAATGGTTGAGAAGAATAGTAACAGGAATTAGAGGCTTCTGTATCAAGGCTGCTGCTTTGAATATTTACTAGTGATCGAAGGTTACCATCTGATGACTCTTTGGTGTTTAATATGAGTCATGAGTTTCATGGTCTCAGCTCAGATAATTGCATCGAAGACAGTCCCCTCAACTGGCACTCAGGGATTGGGCATGGAAAGCAAAGATGGGCTCGTGCCAAGAGGTGAGCCTCTCCAGGCGCAGCATGGGCCGCTGGCGCTGTGACTGCTCAGTGGCTGGAGAGATGACCATAGTCTCCAGCACTCGAGTCACATAAAAGAAAAGAAAAATCGGAACACACACACACACACACACACACACACACACACACACACTGGGGGAGGGTGGAAGGAAGACTCACAGAAGAGTAAGAATTAGGAGGAAGCAGACAACTGCCCTCTGCCTCTCAAGCCCTGGATTGGCTGCCAAAGGCCCGTGCTAGGTCAGCAAGACAAGTTTTAATGCAGAGACAGTTATGGGGGTGTGCACCGGCGCAAGGGGAGGGAGGTGATGGTGGAAAGGAACTGAATTCAAGATTATTTTTTTTAAACACTTAAAAAGAAATATGATCAAATCATCTCTGCCTAGATGCAAGATACCTCCATGAGCACAGAAGAGGCAACATAGGTACACTTGGAAAGATTAGATTTTATTGGTAAAAGTCAAACACCAGTTTAAATAAATGTCAGTTTCACTGTATACACACAAATTGACAAATGTTTCCATTGATGATTATCAAAATTTACAGATGGCAAAGAAAGAAAAGTGCTACTTGAGAACTTATGAGTTTAATTTAAGGATATTTACTTTGTACATTTTAACACATGATGTTGACAATTTGTATTTTAACAGTTATACACAGCTTTAACTTTTTGAATCTCACCGTCTATTATAACCAAATAATTACCCGGCCCCCTGCATAATTCCCTGCAACTGTGAAAATAAAACTTTTTTTTATAAGTCTAGAAAATGCTTTAAAAGAAACCTAAACATCGATGTTAAGTGTCAAAATTATCAAAAAGTGAAAAATGTCATTGTGCCAAGCCTAATAGGAGGACAGGTCACATTCTCCTGGAACCAGGAGAACAGAGATTTTCTTGGGGTGAGATATGTTGTTTGATTACATATTAGGACATTCAGCAATGCTGATACACACGAAAAGGTATCCCAGAAGTCTAAGGACTTGTCTACATGGGGACGTTTATTAGTCTCCATCTATATAATTATGCCACTGTGGTTATACCATTATGGCTCCCCATGTGGAAGCGTATCTGGAATATTTTGCTGGTATGTTTCCCCATGTAGAGAGGCCCTAAAACAAGTTAGGGGTCCATCCAGATCACACTACATTGAAGGAACAGATTGTTTTGTGAAACAGCATCTGGAACCCTTGAAAAAGCAAGAAAACCCACAGTGGGAGATGCTAAATGCAGCACCTTTTGCACTGCAGAACAATTGGTGAAGTCCCACCCGTCCCTCCTCACAGCCATTGGCAGCTCTTTAACCCATCCTGCTAAAAGGGTTGAAAGCAACAGACTATTTGCCCTACCCACACAGATGGGCTGCTGGGAATGCTTAACCAGGGTGTTAAGGGAAAAGGAGCTTTTTCCAATTGTCAGTGCTGAACTACAATTGTGAGTGGCATCCACACGGCCCTTATCTAGCCAGGGCTCAATATAGAAGCAATGGGAGGAGGGAAAGCAAAGCATGGTGCTAATTCTCGTATGCAGGCTGCAATCTACATTTAACACATTCAAGTGTCAATTTGTGGATTAAGACACCATCTACATAACAGAAGTGTCTGGTATGGAAGTTGAGGGGTGAAGGACAACAGCCCATTCCAAAACTGGAGGCTAACAAAACAAGTAATGGAAGAGATACTAACTCTGCACTGGAGAAGTAGGTCACTTGACTAGAGGTAGCATCAATTAAGAAACTGCGAAGATATTTTTGGAAATTGATTTACTTTATGGGTCAAGCTCCTCTGGCAACCCACTCCGATGAGTGGCATTAATCCATTAACGTAACCTTTGCCTGGGAATGTAGAAGGAATGTGTCCTTAACATCCTGCATTTGTGACCAAAGATTAGACTGTTTAAAAAACAAAAACCCAGGGATTCTAACAAATCTACTATTAATAGAAATACTGACATGAGATTAAAATAAAGGAAAAGTGCCTTTGGCTTTAAACATCTTCCTGAAGATTTTGTGGTGTTATTAGCGTGAGAACCAGACCATGAGACTACAAGCAGCAAGCCTGCTCAGACAATTGGCTATGGAGGCTAACATAACAGCCTAGACAGAGAAGGGATATGCTAAAGGAAACTAAAAAAAATGGGGCAAAGTGTATTAGAATTTCACTTTCTTCAGCTTTAATTATCTGAGATTCAATTACTGACACAGGTAAGCACTTTATTTAAAAAAAAATCTCAGTAGTGCCTCTAACAGCATTAGTAGAAATACAGGAGCAGTATTTCTTTGCGTTCTGTGGTGCCTTTCACCAGAAACTCTCACGGTACTCTGTGCACATTAACTACTCCAGCCTCACACTGGTCTTGAGAGGCAGGTGAAGGCGAAGCGAAGAGGATACCTTACTATGGATCGAAGGGAGGCAAAATGTAATTACTCAAGCCGGAATTTGGCCAGGACACCAGGGTTAACACACCCTTCCCTCTTGTGCCCACTGTTAACATTGTAGAATTTACTATAAGTAAATTCAAGACACAGCTTCAAGGTTGAGACACAGGGCCATACTCACAGCTGGGATAAGTGAGAGCAATAATTCCACTGTCTTCAGTGGAGATGCCCCGTTAGTTACACCAGGTCTGAACTCGGGTCAGTGTCTCAGTTCACGACAACACTTCCACAGCCATGGAAAAGGGAGCAAAATATTTCAGACTGGCAATGTAAGCTGAACTCTGAAGTGCGTTCGGCACCACGGGTGGCCACTCCTGTGAAGAGTTAAGCAGCTCTGAACTTGCAGGGGCAGGAAGGCAGGGTACAGTCAGAGTCCATGTCATCTTAAACTGAATTAAAGACATGCAGAACTTCTGCTTTCAAAGATGACAGCGAATGAAGACATATTCCAGGTGCCCCAATACTGGTCTCCCAGCATTCAAATCCACAGGCACTGAGATCTTGTCTGGCTGCTTCCACCATCAATGGGGGTGTGTCTGCCAAGAAGGAAGTTACACCAGCCAGTTAAGTTAAACTTGGTCACCGCTGGGAGATGGAAATGCCTTACTGCATGTTTAATATGGACTAAATGGTATCGCCACTGAACAGTGATAGTTACGGCCCCACTCTGCCAGCCACCTAAGCAGAGCTCCCACCAGTCTCAGTAAAGTGAAAATGACTCAACCAATTCCATAAGCTCAGCTGGAGAAATGTAAAACAGTTCTATGAATAGCAAAGAACAAAATTAGGTTTTAATTTTTTTTAATCGGTTTAAACAACTGAGGTGCTGACGAGGCTATTTATTTATTTTTAATCACAACAGTGCCCCTGTAGGTCTCTAGGGCAACATAAAAGGAAAACAGAGTTAAATGATTAGTAGTAAATTAAGGATTTCTGACCTGGTCTTAGCAAAGTGATTGCACAGCCACCTCCTCCAGCGCCCGTCAGCTTACTGTGCAGCCCGTGTGTGGCGGTCACTCGGCACACATTGTCCAGTGAGCAATGGCCAACTCCAATCACGTTTAAGTGATGCTGGTTTATATCAAAGAGCTCCTTAAAACAAAGCAAAGACAACAAAACCACATGGATCACAGGTTCGGCCCCGGGGGTGGGGTTGGGTAGGGGGGTGCGGCACCTGGGGCGGAAGTGATGAATCTGTCACTTCTGGGATCAGCCACACTGGGGGGGCAGGTAGGGGAGGCAGTGCCTCCCCAAACAGCCAGGTGTGGCCCCACCCACACTCCACCCCCCCAGGGCCCCGCTTCAGCAGCACCGCGGGTCTCCAGGGGGCTGGGGCCACATGGCCCGCCTTCCTGGGGCAGGGGAGGCTGCAGTGGCGGTGCCGTGCACTCTCCCTCCCGGCACACTCTCCCCCTTGGGTGGAAGGGGTGGGGCTGGGGACTAGCCTCCCCCAGCCAGCAGTTCACGCACTGCCCATGTGGTGCCGGGCAATCGCACCAGCCCAAGGGGCCCTCCAAAGTGCAGGGACCGGAGCAGTCGCCCTGATTCGCTGTCCCCCAAGAACAGCTCTGGATCTCAAGCCTCCAGAACAGGTCTCTTCTCCAGTGATCGAGGGCGCTATTCCAAGGCGCCTGCAAGCAGAGCTGTACTGTGGCTCAGCTACCCGTTAGGAAGTCACTGACAGGCTGCCACATCTTACTGCGACAGGAAGCTGGGCAGCGTAGCGCTGCTCTGGAACAAGCAAATGCTGAACAGTGAGACCGAGTCCACCAGCAGCCTCGGGCTTCTAGTCGAGCCTGTGACTACTGAACGGACACGGATATCAGTTCATTTTAAGACATTATAAAGAGAGAGAGATGCCAAAGGAAGCAGAGGGCCAAGAGAGCTGCCATTCACTGCAGGCCCTGTGAACTCCAGCCCTCGGTAGTCTTTGCCTGCTTCCTCTCTCCTGCTACGCATGCACCGAACAGGACACCGTAGAAATCCTTCCCTAGCTGTGGGATAGGAATCGTGCTGGATCGCTCCCATTCCTGGCCAATTCTGCAATCCATCCAGCTCCAGTGATCGAAAGTGGAACCGCCAAGGCAGTGATAAGCAACATTAAAATCTCCCTTGTTTGTATCATACAGCACTTCTCTCCCCACTGCAAGGCAGAGATCCAGGACCCAGACCCAGGGGCCTTCCTCCAGCATGAGGCAGGTACTCTAGGTATTTGTTGGCCAACCCAAGTCAGGCTCTTAAACGTTTCCTGCAGTCCTCCATTCTGGGAGGATCTGTGGCTATGGAAGTACAAAGCAAGCCTTTTTCCCAAGCGGAGAGGATTTCTACCGCATTCACAAGCCCAGCTAATGCAAGCAGCCAGAACCCTGAGGCTATTCTCTCATGCAGGTCTCCAGCGGGCCAGGATACTGCAATAGCTACAGGACTACTCATGTCCAAATCCTGCTGTTACTACAGTTAGTTGCTTGTGGCAGGGAGGCATGAATGGCCCAGGAGATTGATAACAGGATACAGACCCTTTCACCTCTAGTGAGCAGCTCAAATACAGCCCCTGGCAATCTGGGTTCAAAGTCATCACAATCAAATAACTGTTCAGCGTCCTTTAATACACGAGTTGGAGAGACTAAGTCCAGTCCCAGCGCACAGGTAGCCAATACCACAAAACCAAGCACGAATGGCAGCTTTAGCGGCCAAGGACTGAACGACTCCATTTCCCCCAGAGATGAGCAGTCCCACAGATTAGCTAGGCACACTGGCTGGAGAGCGTTGATGGGGGAAGCCTGCACTGCTCACAACGCGCCCGCCTTGTAGACACTGAACATTACAGCACAAGGCTGAACTGGCAGCTAGCACAGAACTAAACACGCGCACAGAAATTTAAAGATTATAAGAATAAAGTGAGGGGGGGTTTTTGTTTAAGAAAATGGAAGCTCAGAATTAAAGGAGTTAGTTGGAAAGGAGCAGCTGGCTGAAATGCTGCCGTATACAAGGCACAGACCATTACCAGCAGAGCACTGAAAAATAGGGTAACGAGACAAGAGTGGATGAGAGAAGAAGTCTCTTAAAGCAGCACCAGAAGCCCACACACAGGATATGAATTAAGTGTACATGAATGGGCACAATTCTAATTAACAGGTCAGGTCGACGGGCAGCAACTGAGCAGCCTGAGCCAGATTAACATTCCCAGCCCCAGTGAAGCTCGACCCACCCATCACCTCCCATTGCTGGTTCTAGCCAGACACACTAGACATTCCGGCTCGGAACTAGATCCATCTGCCACTTGAGACCTCCACAAACGGAATGATTTGTATTACGACTACACAGAAGCCCCCACCAAGATCGGGCCCCACTGTACTAGATGCTGTACAAACACACATATAGGAAGAGACAGACCTTGCCCGGAAGGCCTACAGTCTACACAGACAGACAAATGAGGATGGGAGAGAGGAATGATCATCATTCCCATGTTACAGATGGGGAACGAAGGAACAGAGGTTAAGTGACCTGCCCATGGTCACACGGTGGGTCTGTGGCAGTCAGGAACTGAACCCAGAATTCCCTTAACCACAAGATTGTCCTTCCTCTCAAACACATCAGAACAGGTAGTGTTGGAAGTAAGAATTTGCTAGCCACAAAATCCTGAAGCCTTAAGGTTTTACACAGCATGGGGCCATGATCCAGTGACATAACGTAGCAGAGGGGAGTAGCTGGGAGCCACAGGCGATGTTAAATAGGGAGCCAGTTGAAAAGCCAGCAGGCCGAGTACACTATGTTAGTTGAGAGATTTGCTCTTTTCCATACCCAGGGCCAGTCTTCACACAGTGCCACGACGAGCTTCTCCAGGGCCTCTACCTGACTTTTGATGAGCACATGCTGCAGTCAGTGGCATGCCTTTGGACGATGCTTTGACTGCACAGAGCTAGGAGCTACAGGACAGCATGGAAGGTGTCAATCACTGTGGCTCCCTATCCAGTCCTACATGGGTCTCCTGTAAACACCATGCAGGTATTGGATAATGCAAAATTACCCCCCACCCCCCTCCACACCACAATTTGCAACGTACTTTAGATACGTGAGGGAAGCTGGATTAGCCAGCAGTGTTTAGCACGTACACATTGCAAGCTCCGTGCACTGCATTGGACAGACCTCCATCCAGGGGCCTCTTTATATGCCTGAGTGCAGGGCGCGGATCCAAGACACCTGTCATATTGCAATCCAAGATCTGCTAGGAGTCAGATGACAGCTTATGACACAGTAGACTAGTTCAACGGCTCAAGTACAAAGACATCCAGAACCGCACATTTCAGCTACAGCATCAGTCAAAAATAGAGATATGTAGGTATGCAGCATATCATCAACTATGCCTCTGTGGGCTCTTCAGACACAAGACAAACAGAAACCAACTTACTGAAGCATTTCTCCCCCTTGTAATTTAAACAGGACCTCTCTAGCACCTTTCATCTGGGGATCTCAAAGCACTCTTCAAGCTAAACCTCACAACCCTTCTTTCATGAAGGACCGAGGTGAAGTGAATTGTCTCAGGTCACACTGCAACTCCGTGGCAAGCCCAGGAACAGAACCTAGAGTTCAGACTCAGTCTCCTGGTCTAACCATCAGGTAGCACTCCACTACGTTACACAGAACACAGCTTTCATACAAAATCATTCTACCATCTTGGTGCAGTGGTATAAGCAAAATCCTAATTTTGATACAGGCCATTAGGAACTGAACTGAGACCTACCAAACTCCTCTCACATAGGACACCCACTAAAGCCATTTGCAGGTTTGACAGCACACAGCTCTCTCAGAAGATCTCTCTTTCCTAAGGAATGTACTCTACGAGACTATACAGCACTATAAGTGGCTCTGAATGGAGAGTGGTAACGTAGCACAGGAGAGCCTTGGCATGAAAATGGGAGGGACAAAATTCCAACCACTATGCTCTGAATAAGCACTGTGCAAACCCTGCCATTTTGACTGCATGAGAACAGTATGGCATAACTTTGCATCAAGATAGACGTTTCTCTCCCTGGACCTCACAGAGTTTACAGCCACTAACAATGGAAGTCTCCAAGCACCTCTGCAGGAGAGGGTGTCTTAGCCCCATTTTATATAGACTGGAGAACTGATGTTGAGATGGAAAGCTTAAGTGACCTGCTCAAATTCAAACAGGATTCGTGTGGCAGAGAACCCAGGAGTCCTGAATGCCAGTCCTGTGCTTTAGCACAAGGCTTCCACTCATTCTCCAGGACCCTCAGTGCTCTTTCTGGCCCAGACTTTGAGCCTGTCACAACCGTCACTGCCTTTGTTGTTCCTCAGCCATCCGCCAGGCTCACTTCCTGACACCATCTCTATCTGGCCTTGCAATATCCCCATATCCTTCTCTTTATCTTCCCCAGACATGATGGCTACGTGCACTCATCTCCACCTGTTCACCACGGTTCCATCCACGGCAGCAAGAGACACAGATTGCCCATTGTTCCGCCGGAGGCTCCAGCCTTCACAACCGGATACAGCAAGAGACAACACAAATAAGGGGGAGGGAAACAAAAGCTACCCTTTCAAATCTCTCCTGGTGACAACTGATTGCGAACTCACCTTGGGTAGAGCATCTGCAATCCCGCCAGTGAAGGCGACTCCTTATTGTAACCAAGGGGGGAAAGCACGGTTACTTGTGGATGTGTTTGTGTGTGTGTGGTGGGGGGAGGAGAAAGAAAGAACAGGACATCTCGCTATCTATCAACACCTCTAGCAATGGAAGCATCAGCCAGCTGTTCTTGCAATGAAGCAGATCACTGCAATTTATGGCCTCGTTGCTTGAATTCTGTCCTATCAACACCTCTATTTCTGAGCACCCTAAGCGTTCAGCATTTAGCACATGGGACTCCCCCGCTCCCATACCAGATGTGGGTTCATCCACCTGGCCATAATGAAACATGTCCCAACAGATGCAGTCGGTGAATTAAATTTTCCCAACACTAACTGATAATTACTTCATTATAAATCGGAACATTGAGGACAATGCCCCATACATTTGCGCGCGGGGGAGGTGGGGTGGGGAAAAAGGTCTTTAATTTGAAAGAGTCGTTTCCACAACAGCCTCCCCGTGCTTTGAATGGAGCCAAAATGAACACAGATCTTAGTCACTTCATGCATCAATGTCAAAACAGTTCTGGGCACAACAATTGCTATCTGCTCTCCTGAGCCTGGAGACAGGACAAGCACAAAGCGGGGGCTGGTTTCTAACTAGTCTATCAAAAACAGCGGCTGCTGAGTTTTGTGCTTCTGTATTGGCTTTGTCAGTAATAAGAATGGTAGTTTTATAAAGAGCTACTTCCAATTCAAAGGGCTACTGGCCATCAAATCACAAACCATTCTAAGGGAGGGGACATTCTGATCCTGAACTAACTCAGTGTCCCTTCAACTAAGGGAAATGAAATGTATGGCTCTGAAAGAATAATAAAAGCAAACAAGTGTTATATACAGGAGGTAGCAACAGTACCTTAACTACTTCAGACATAGTGAGTGCATTAATGATAGCACATATAAATTGTGGTTCACTCTGAACTGAACATTTCCTGCTATCAAAATCTCTCCCAACCTTAATGATCTTTAAATGACGTTTTGATGTGCGACTATAACAGTGTCTAAGAATACAGGCGAGAGTGTCCCTTACCTCTAGCACAGGGTAATACTCCTGTGATGGACTCTCAGCCATTGCTTCCAGAACATTTTCACACTCCTGAGAAATTGCGTCTATCGAGGCAAGCACTGGGTTCATTATAGCAGGAAACTGTGACAAGAAGAAAATGAGAGACATGAAGACAGCTCTGTGGCTTCACTGCTATTGTGCTGGAGGTGGACCAAGCCCTCCCAGGCTGGACAATTCATGTGCAATAAGGGACGCAAAGCAGAAGCTGGTCACATTTGAGGTGTCGGAGGAAATGGACAGAGAAACAGGGTTAGGTTTGGTATTTCAGGGTTGCAAACTCGTGTGATTTTGTTGAGATGTTTGGCATTTTTCTTAAAGCCCCAAGCTCCTGGAGTTAGGGATTTTTTTTTTTTTTTTTAAATATGAAAACAGATTCTCACCAAAAAGAAGTTTCTAGCCCTCTGGTTGCAGAGACAAGCCTGGAAACAAAACTTAAAGGTTCTAAAATTCAGAAAGCAAATTACAAAAGGAAAAGAAAAAAGTTTTTTTTTTTTAATCTCACGATTTTTAACGAGACTCTTGATTCTTTGGAGCCAAACATGGTTTTTGAATGCTTGGGGTTCACCAAGCTGCTTGTCACTGCAACAACAGAAAGCGTCATGGCCAGATCCTCATTTTAGCTAAAAAAGGGAAGTCCTGGCACAGGGTTTGGATTAATACTTGCTCATTATGGGGAATGAGGAGAAATAAATCATTTCGATCAGAATTGCATAATAGCGGAGACTCCACGCCACTAAGCATAGAAAGCCAGATAGAGAGACAATTCCTGGAGGGTGCTGTTAAGCTGACTTGGCTGGAGTGACATAGAAACTCTACAGTCAGCGTCAGATCCAATGCATCACCTTAGTGAGGATATTTTGACCTACTCCATCGTTTTCGGGGGGGGGGGGGGGAGAGGCCCTTTCTCCTCCCCCAGTTACATCCCCTCCCCCTGCTCATGCAGCAGTAATGCCAGGAGGAACATAGTAATACCACTAAACAGCTTCCAGGAAATCCATGCGAATGCAGCAATGCACACCCGGCTACCCCCCTAGAAATAATCCCAGGATCTTTTCCAAGTGCAGGTCAACTCTCCCCACCCCTTAGCAATCAATGTACAGCCTTGCTACCATTGGGTTAGCCCAGTGGTTCTCAAACTTTTGCACTGGTGACCCCTTTCAAATAGCAAGCCTCTGACTGTGCCTCCCCTTAAATATGTAAAAAAGTTTTTAATTTATAACACCATTAGAAATGCTGGAGGCAAAGCGGGGTTTGGGGTGGAGGCGACAGCTCATGACCCCCACATGTAATAACCTCATGACCCCCAGTTTGAGTACCCCTGGGTTAGCCCAATTAATAGATGTGCTTCCACGTCACTGTCATCTACCAAAAAGATGCTGCACCTTAAGAATCTTGTCTTTGACACCTGCCACAAGGACCTTGGTGCTCCGAGAGACTTTTGTGTTGGTCAATAAGATCCTTAGAGTCGGCACTCTGAAAACAAAACAAAGATTCTGAAATTCATTCTCCTCTTGATAACTGGGCAACGTCCAAGGGTTATTCCACATCCATCAACAAATTTACTCCCCCGTTCATGCCATGGTCAAACAACCTTAACGCATGTAATAACTGCTTGTACAGGCAGGGCCCCATGTATTCCGCTATTCCACAGCCACAAACTGTGTTACATAGTTAGGCTCTACAATCTTCACTTTTCTAAAAATGAAGTGCCTACCTCTTGTGATCATGAAAATAAACTTGAAAATATGAGGCTAGCGTAAACTCATGCAGTGGCATCTTCCTGTGTTTGCCACAGACTGAAACAACAGCTTTGAGAGGTGTGAACTGCCATTTTGATTTGTCTGCTCTGAAGCCTAATGGTGTCCGTTTTGTTGTCAACATGGTTAACTATTTCACTGCTGATCATTTTAGCAGAAACAAAGTTAATTTGCTTCTCACCATTTGTCCCTTTCCCGCAAAGAACACAAAGGCTACTGTACGGATTTAAATATTAAAAAATGTACAGTAAGTAAAACCCTCCATTTTTAAAATGTATCTGAAGCTGCTGCCAGGTTTTCACCACAGTGCTCTAGACTCCTGTTTAGGTCCATCTCACCTACAGACTGCTCTAACCTAGTCCAGAATGAAGGCGAGCAGAGAATCAAGGAGCCATAACATGAGAGCTTCCCCTCTCTACTGCATCGAGAAGATCCCAGGTCACAGTAGACAGTCTGGCATTGGACTATCATCCCTCTAGAACAGGCTGGTTATTTAAGACCATAATCTAACAACATACTTAACCATGAGAAGTCTTGTTAACTTTAGTAAGTGTGCGTTCAAGTACTTTGCTGGGTTGGGGCTTGGGGCTCGGTGCTCTCAATTACACATATATTGATACAACTGTGCTGGTTCTACAAATATGACAAACCTGCTTACTGAGATCCATGTTTTTCAGCTAAAATATCTTTCCTTTGAAACACGATTTGTGAGACCAGCCAGCTGGAGACATTAACTGCTAACAGAGCAATTTCATGCACTGTGAAAGATTTTAATGGCATTGGATTATAGTTCATTGGTTGGAGGTATAGAGCGCATTCTGAACCAGGGTTTGTTTTCTCTTCACATTGCAGCTTGGTTTTTGTACCGTTCTAAAATTCAATAAGCAAGAAATTGTGGTTCTGTTTTGTTTTTTTAAATGTCATTTGCTGCCAGGAGCTGACCTGATCCTGCTGCCTATAAGGCCATGAAATTAATATTGATCTTTTGTCTTGTAATCTAACTTCAGACAATGACCAAACATTTCATTGACTTCATTTTTTCCCAACCCAAGACAACAAAACTGGTTTTCAAGATATTAAAGCTACCTGATAGGTCCACTAGAGGCTTCTGGCCGCAAGATTCCTACTCACACTGTTCAGCATTCTTTTGTTACTCTCATACCTTTAGACCATAAACTCTACACAGATATGTTCTGTGTGTGTGTATATAATTTTAATATTACCTCTTTAATGATGTGATTTTTCCTGATTGAAATCGGAGCACTCCACCTAAAGTAAAGTACATACATAGTCATAGTATGCAACACATCTGAATATAATGTTTAATAAGTATATAGGGTCTTTCATCTGTAGAAACTAACCTACAGCATGAGAAGTTAATTGCAAGAAGCACAGGCAAAACAATGGGTCAGATCCTCAGATGGTGTGAGCAGGCAGATCTCCATTAACTTCAGTGGGAGATCTGGCCCAAATATGAGTAACTTGGTGCCTTCACCCTTTGCTTTCCTGTACTGGAGGGCCACAGAAAATAAAGAGATTTTCAAATGGAGAGAGTTAGGTTAGAATCAAGTCTTCATTGGTCTAAAACTAACGAAGTAAGAATCAAATGAAGACTTCTGGGATAGATGTAAACACATTAAACACCAGATTCAGCGCAGTGAGAGAATATTTGTGAAGCAGAACGGTTAGTAACCCAACAGAACCCCACCAGTCAGCAAGCTTGCTACTTCATTCTCCACTTCCCAAGGTTTTGATAAAGTAGCTGTGATGAAGTCTTATTAAAAAGATTGTTAAAAAACACTCCCACACAAAGCATCACAGCACACTTGCACATCACAATTAAGACTAAGGTACAGGCGACCAAGTACGTACATTTTCCAAAGCATTATCCTGCAGTGAGTATTTTTTTTTTTAAATTTACATTTATTTGCTCCATAATTTGTAAATTCCAGTTATTTCCATGAGGACTCCTCTTCCAAGGCATTAATGTGAATGAGGGAGATTCATATAGAAGTCAGACATTAGTGAATTAAGCCTCTCAACACCCCGGTGAGGCATTACTGCTATTTTACAGATAGGGAAACTGAGGCACACAACAACAGAATGACTTCAAGGTCAAACCTAAAATCAGAACTTGCGAGTTTCTGGTTCCTTCCTCCCTCCATCCCCATTCAGTCCAACAGACCATTCTCTCTCCCTCCTGAGGAGGCGAAAGTATTACTAACATTGCGCTACTGTGTGAGGGGTTTATTCTGAAGTGACATTACCTTCATTCTTTGCCATCAATAAGCAGTGAGTCTCTACTAGAGCAGGCTGGCAACGACACAGAGGAAAACTATAGAACAGGATTTGGTACTAAGATGGTGTAGGGAAGAGGCTTTACTTGTGCTTTTCCCTTTCTAATCCAGTGTGTGCCAAGAGGACAGAGACTGGGGTTAAACAGTCAGTCAGTCTGCAGGATGGATTTTGGACCCATTTTTATATATTCAAAACTCCCTGCATAAAGGGCTGTGAGCAATTTGAGATGCACACTGAAAGACCACTTAAGTTTCACTGCAGTCTGCAAGGCCCTTTGGATTCTTTGCTGAAGTGCTACTTAGGAGCAAATCCTAAGCAAATCCCATCCGATCTCCCTGCACTAGCTATGCAGCAGTGCATGAAGGGGACTGAAAAAGCCACCATTCCCAATGCCCGAGTACTGGCCTCTTCTACTCTGAGAGTGACAGCACCTGTATTCAGAGCCAAAGAGGAATGGATTGAGACTGAAAAATACATACCCCAAGTCGCTACAGAGTTATCCACACCAGAAGGCTTGCCATGGATGACCTGCTCTCCCCGAAAGGCCCAT